GTGAAGAAGGAAGTAGTGGTAAAGGTGGACAATCTCCACCTTTGCAAAACGAAGATAATGATCATCAACAACACACGTTAAACAACCACCATCAATATCAGCACTCACAACAACAGATGAATCATCCCACCGACTCCACGACAAAATTCTTGAAGAGTATTTTAGGTGTAAATACTTACTACATGAATGGACCACCCCCTCTCACGCCTTCTTCGCATGTGTCTCCTTCGGTAGATATAGCATCGCAAATTGATCGTGATAATCATACTAACAGTATCACGGCACCGATTCCTCGTTCGGCAAACAGTAATGTAAATATTGCGGCTCTGGACCCCGAACTACAACTCAGAAGAAATTCTATATTAAACTTGTTTACAGCGGTGGATCCTTCGTCGTCGTCGACTACGACTACTAATGCCACCAATACAAATACTACAACTTCTAGTCGGCGACCTTCTGTGCCCGCTGTTACTACTACTAATCTTAGCACTAATACGACTACAACTACGTCTTTAGTCGATTACGAAGAACGACGCAGAAATTCTCTGCTAGAATTACTTCAACCTGAATCTGCCGTTACCACCACCACCACCACCACTACCATTAAATCTGAGATAATTGCAGAATCTTCGGCAACCTCAGTTAATCCAATAACGATGGATAATAATAATAATAATATTCCTCCACGCACTACTGATTTTCTTGAAAGTGATAATGGTAATGCAATGCAAGAACGACAAGAACAGATGCTTAATTTCTTGCAACAACCTTCGTCCGCTGTTTCATTGATTAATATGAATCGAGCTTCATCTTCTACTGTTAACGATAATTCTGCTACCACCCTCAATAATGCTATTACTAATAACAATAATCATGGGTGGTTCAGTATGTTTGTTCAACAACCATCGTCTCACCACCATCCATTGGTATCTCCGTACCATCATCAATATACTGCTACTGCTGCTACTGCCGTGTCGTTAGACCCCAATAATTATTTAGGCAATAACATTAATATTACGAATAGCATAAATAATACCAACAATAATAAACGGGATTCGATGTTCAGTTTGTATTCGAGTCAAGGATACGCTACCCCGATGGCGCAACAACATGTTGGATTCGTTGGACAAGGGAGACCTCATAACCACCAAAGTGCAACTTCTAATACCGGCTCCAATAATAATGGGTTTAACAACATCAGTTACTTGAATAATCGGGACAGTATTGATGATGTCTCCCGAAAAATGTCGTTGCTTGGTTTGTTATCGTCATCCGAAAGTGATAGTAGCAACCCAGCTTCCGTTAGAAATAGTGCCTCGATCAATAGTGCTATTATCAACAACGATGATGTGGTCAAGCAACAATCTGCATCCAGTTTGCCACTAATGCCATCTACATCTTACTTTACTGATAGCGGAAATGGTGGTGATATCAATGGTTTAAGTGGCGCGAACATTTTATCAACCAATGGAATCATCAATCAAAACCCTGCGCCACCTCAAATCAACAACAATAACAATACAATAAATCATAATACTCATCATCCTCAAAGATCATTCACTCCTGGCACACCAACTGCGCACCGCGCCAGTCACGAAAACTTACTTCGTCTGATCACAGCTTCGCCGCCTCCACAAACCAAATTCGCCTCATCTGGTCCGATCGACGCCGAGATCCAGGAACAAGAGAGAACTTTAATGAGTTTTTTGAAGTTTGCAGGTAGTGAAAATCTTGACGTAGGTAATGCTGATAACCATGCCACCAGCAACAATAACGATAATAGTACAACTGCTAGCATTGGTAGTGCTGGATCTTCGACGACTACTATTGCTAATGAGTTGAATGTAGTTGGAGATCATCTTGACACGTCGTCGTTATCGTATAATATGATAAATAGTACTCGTGAGATTCACGCCGCCAATAACATATTTAGTAGTAATACTACTGGTAAAAACGTGAGTTTCTTAGATGTATTACCGTCTACGTCATCCTCGTATCCTTTATCCAACAATAATATCAACAATTCTTATCGTAATCAACACGATTATTTTGTTGGAAATATAAACGATGTCGTTGGTAATGGACTCATACCAAATGGCGATCAAAGACACCATTATCATCAATATCATGAGCATCATAATCATAATAAACATCATCAACGTCAAGATATTACATCTATTCCGTCAATGGGTGTTGTTGATCAACAACAATTACTATTACAACAGCTACTCAATAACAATAATCATCATCTTCCGCATTATTATCGCCGTCACGATAATAACAATTATGTAAGTGGTGCTGGTGGTGTTGGCAATTCATTTAATATCAGTGAGGTTACTGCTACTACCAGCACTAGCGCCCAGATACCTGCCTTTACGAATTTCAAGTTTGACGTGGATAAAATTCTGGCCGCTATGTAAATTATTGAATAACAGTCCCGATGAATATTCGTTATAGAGACAACACACGAATAATGATAATTGCTGTTAAAGATAAATAGAAAAAAGAAAAAAAAAGTTGATAAAAAAATTAACTCCAAAAAAAAAAATGGATCGGATGGTGCAAAAAATTCAGCAAAAAAAAAAAATTCGAAAAAAAAATTCATAAAAAATTCGACATTTAATTGATCGAGGAAATTGGGCGGAATAACAACGATTGATCTCGGGAATCGGGGAAATATTATTTGAGATACGACGGGGCTATATATCATTCGAATGGGAAATTACTATTTACTAATAATCGATCTGATTATTACATTATCATCCATGTTCGTTATGATGTATCTCAAATAATGGTGAATAATAAAAAAATTTGTCACATTGAAATTTGACAGTGAATTAATGAAAATGCACATGTAATGTTAAAATGACCACATTTACTTGAAAGTGTGGGATATCGTATCGAGAAATTTTGATTTACATGAGTATCAAACACGCCATCGCAACATGCAATATTCAACAATAATTGAATTTACTAATTCTGGGTTGCGCCATTTGTTTAGTCTTAAACCCACAATTGTACAATTTAAATTAATATTAAACCCACTTCAGATTTGGATTGGGAGTGGCAACCCTACTGTCAAAGATGCGCCGGAATTTTATTTAATAAAAAAATTAATACATAATAATCCGTCCTTAAATATAAATTACAATGCAAATAAAACTATATCGTTAGAAACCCACTACCATGTATTCTATTTACCCACTATTCTGTGAAGATTATACATGTAGTTTAAAAAAGGCATTATTTCGTAAGGTAGCTTCACTTTTACATAAAAAAGGTTAGAACCCCTCTTTGAGTTTACATTTATCAACAAGCATACTGATTAATTCATCAAATTTAGGATCGTTGGTAATTTTCACAGCTATTTCTTGAAGTTCCATAATATCATGATTTCCAGTTGCATCCAAGGCTACTTCTTCGTTTAATTTCGGTTGAAACCGATAATAAGATATGCCATCTAGTTCGGAAATAGTATTCATAGTATTTTCTACATTTTTGGATCCCACATTCATCAAAAGTTCGATCAAGGGTTTTATCCAATCAATGGTGCCACCCGTTGCAAGAGACTCTAATGATTCTTCATAGAATCCTGTGCCAAGGGAAACTACTACAAATTTCTTATCTGGATATTTTCTTTTTGCTTCAAGATACGCTTTAGCCGTCGGATTATTCATGAAAACACCACCATCTATGTATCTCATTTGATCATTTTCTATTCTTTTAGCAGGAAAGTAGGTAGGTGCGGCTGAACTTGCTCGTATCACATCTTTTATGTGATATTCCTCAAATTCAGGGCACATATTTGTAAAGAAAGTACATGCATTCTTGGTGATATTATAAGATGGAACAAGCACTTCGTTTACGGTATCTTTAAGTTTCAAATCACCAAATTTATCCCCTAACAATTTT